TTGCTACCTGACCTTGAAGTTGTCTTGTTTATTATGCTGAGCTCTCTCCACACTTACGTGACCAGCCTGTAGTTATATCATGGCAGAGCTGACTCTACCGAAGCCACCGAGATGTCTTAGTTATCTCACATGTCTAGAGATCTCGTAGTCGGGGCTTCTTATGTTTTAGTCTGTTGTAACTAGCTACCAGTTTGGAGGACAGTAGTGACTTATCTGTTCCCTAAAGACATCTCAGGGCCAGCCAGGCAGCATTCAGTGGCCCAGAGCCCACCCCTCTTGGTTGTCTCATATACACAACCATCAGCCTTCAAATTCATCTCCTTCAGCGCTACAGGCACTACCATTGAAGCCCTCCATCTTCCTTTTAACTCCCGTGCCTGTTCTCACTGCAACCTTGTGAGTCCCCTGCAGCTTCTGCCATGGGTTCCTCCCCCTTACTGCCGAGAGAGGCAGCTCCTGCATCTCTAGGCAAGCACGCATTCAAGGAGTAGTGTCTGAGGATCTTCTGGGGAGGACCTGTCTGTCTCCTGAGACTGGGAGACATTCCAGCAAAGGAGGCCCCAAGCTCTGAGACTGGATTCAGCCACAGTCCCCTGCTCCTGTCACTCAAGGGACTTTCTTTACCCGTCTGTGAAGTGGGAACCACACACGCAACTCAGAAGTTGTGGTGCCAGCCAGGGAGTTAATATGTGCTACACTGGTCGTGCTCCCTGGTGCAGAGTGAAGGAAGATGATGGAGGACTTTAAGACCTCCAAGAGAAGCTTCTAGTCATCCCAGAAGGGAAGGAGAGATAACAGCTGTAGGGAGCAGAGCCCATGGCTGCTGGGCCCTGTTTAAGAGAACATTCCTGATGGGCCTCCAGCCAGTAAAGATTCCTTCCCTGAGTGCTCACAGCCTGCAGGGCTTGCATTCTCAGCAACAAATGTCCTAAGCAGAATGCATTTGCACAGGGGAAATACAGATGAAGCACAAGGTGACAGAAATCTGTGATTCTGTAACATAGTCACACTCCCTACCAACTGAGCCGTCTTCCCAGCCTCCACAGTCACAAGTTCTGTGTAAGATGCTGTCTATATGTGAGAAGGTGGGGATCTATTCAAGATGGCATATGGCTTGTGTGACTCTATAAGCAATGCATACTTCATTTACACGTGATACACATATGTGAGTGTGTGTGCACACTTGCACAGAGGCCAGAGTGGGTGTCGGTACCTTCCTGTCGTTCTCCTGCTTACCACAGCCTTGAGATAGTGTCTAACACTGAGCCAGCTCGCTGCTTTGGTGAGGCTGGCTGGCCAGAGAACTCTCAGGAGCCAGCTCCCCATTCTAAGGTTGCAAGCACAAATGGCTATGCCCAGATTTCTATCTGAGTACAGAGGATTCGAACTCACTTCCTTCAGGCAGCAGCCCAAGCACTCTTACCCACCGAGACGTTCCTCCAGGTGCCTGCATATTCTTTAAGGATTCTTCATAAATACCTTTGGGTTGCCCCCTAGATGGCTGGGCTGGCAGGGTTTGTCTTTCAGCGTGATACCTGTCTATGAAAAGCACCCTTGTCCGGGACACTGCCTATGTCCTCAGTATCCTGTAAGCTGGGATGTTGTGACAGAGTGTGGGTGTTCCAAAGTTCTGAATGCCTTACATACTTAAATGCACCCTGTGGCACAAGTTTCATTTAAGCCATAACTATTTGATATATCAACAAGCTTTTAAAACTTGTATTGATCTACTTTCTGATATGACTGTATACTCTCTCACTGGGTTTTCCCCCCAGTGTTTAATCAATTTCCTGTGTATCTTGAAGAACATGTTCCTGTTCTTGATATAGATTCTAAAAACATAATCTCAAAACTCCTGGTTTCCTAGGTGGCAAAGTCCAACTCGCAAGCAGAAGGATTAAATTCTTCTCTGGAACAGCTTCAACACAAGATACAAACATGTCGAGACTGCCGGGGAGATAAGGGCGTGAGTGGATCACAGATTCCGAATATGCCCAGTCAAGACTGGCACATTCGGTGTAGACTTGCATCTGGGTACCGGGTTTCTCCAGCACAGAGAGGGTGGGGTGTCTCTGAGCCTCAGTGGCTGACTTCTGTGTTACTCAGTGCAAGGCAGAAAGAAAAACCAACCAGTCCTGCCCCTCCCCCCATCAGCCTCAGGCAGGCATGCAGATGTTGGCGGGGGGTGGGGTCCTGAGACTGGATTTGGGGACCCCTTATCCCTCTGCAGTGTCATCAGGCCTTCCTCTCTGCACTGGGAGCTCATGCCCAGGTGAGTGAGAGAAGCAGGAGCTCTGTGCTCCACTTCAGCACAGCACATACACGGATTTCTCATGTCTAACCTGTGAAAAGCTGAGACTGCAGCCGAGTTCAGCAGGACCCTGTTTGCGAGCATCCCCGGCTCCCCGTGTCAGCAGAGCAGGGGTGTGAATACTTGTTTTTTGGCCATGAGTGCCTGTCTCTGCCCCAATCCACATGTGCCCTGGTCTCCCAAGGTATCTCTGAGCAGCTCACCCAGATGCCCGCAGAGCTGGGTACTTGGCCTGCAAGACCAAGAGAAATGCTTCCTGCTCTGTTTCTCTCATGTTAACTCGGGGCTGTGTCTCCATTGACGTGATCCCCAAAAGGACGCTTATTTTCTATCTTCATTGCAAACTTGTGTATGGTATGGCACATGATTCTTGAGAAAGTTCCCACCGGGCACCATGTGCAGAATGTCCCTCTGGGGACAGAGACACGCTTGGTCCATTGTTTGCCTTCATATAGTTTCCTACACATTCGCTGAGCTAATCACTCTGTGTGTAGATGGAAGGCAGTTCTATGTTTTATCCATCGCTTTCCTGGTCTCCCTTCCCTGACATCAAGGGACAAACTAGTTGTCCTGCTAGGACCTTCAACAGGTCCTTTAGGCAAGCCCTAACTGCAGAATAGCAACATTTTAGATTCATTTCTTCCCCTCCCAAGCTTCACCAGTTCTTTGATGTTGCGTGGCTACCAGGAGAACTTACCCAGGCTTCTGACTAGGTGCAGAGAACGTAAGCTGGGTGTGCCATTCCTGTGTGGATGGAGGGGCCTGGGTTATAGTCTGCAGGGCAATGGTGAGGATAAAGATGGTTGAGGGCGCATGCCTGAACCTGCAGGGTGCTGCTAAGGGGAACGCCGGTGAGATGGACATCAGCTCCCCTGCACAACTCTCCACACCCTTGCCAAGTGGACCAAGTGTGTCCTTTAAACATAACATTTTAGAGCTAGAGGAGACACTAGGGGATGTTCCATATATCTTCTAGATGATGAAACTGAGCCAAGCAGTTTTGAATCACTTGTCTATATCTGAATCTACAAGACTAGGAGCAGAGCTCCCCCATCAGTGAAGGATCTGTCACTTTAGAACAGCTGCCCAACACACACACACACACACACACATACACACACACACACACACACACACACACACACACACACACTCCTCCAGGACCATTTCCTATAAGAAAGGGGACTTGGAAGAACCAAATGTTGTCCTTCATGGATCAACCCCTGCCCTGCACGTCTGGTGACCCTGCCTCTTTTCTGGGGCTCCGTCCCTCTGTATCCCCCCTAGATGGCGGCCACAGATGACCTCCTTGCCTTTGTCCGGTCCTGGAAAGAAAAACTGAGCCAAAGGATTAAGTACCTCAACTGCAGCCTGGACGCGGTGTCCATTACTCAGGAGGTCTTTACGGTAAAGAACGTGGAGAGACGGGGAAAGGGGGACGGGCTGTAGTCTGGGCTCCTAGGAGACCCCACGAGATGTAGCACAGCAAAGAGGGGAGGAGATGCCCAGGCTCCACCAGGTCTGCTGGGGTGGAGTCAGATCTCAGCTGGGATCCCCTGCGGGCCAGCTCCTTGCACTTATCCTTAGGAGACCCCTCACGTCTTTGGCACTACTCCTCTCTCCCAAGGCTCTCAAGTTTGCCAGTGTATGTAGTCTCAGTCAAGTCTGTTCACCTCTGCCTCTGCCTTCCCATCTGCTGTGAGCAGTCACATCCTCCATCTCCAACAAGACCCCAGTGTCACTTCCTCAAGCTACTAAGTCTCTCGCACACTCAATGCCCAGTCCTTTTACAGCAGCAAAGGCACAAATAACTTTGTCATTCTCCTGCCTTCAGTGTCAAATCTAAGCCTTTCAGCCAGTCACATGGGAGCCTGCATGGTCTGTCATCAATACCCTTCATCCCTCGCTCCCAAAGCCATCTCTTGCCTTCTGGTCTGGGCGGGGCTACTGGCCCTGGAGTGTCTCCCACCTTCCTCCCATGAGTCCGCTGACCGTGAGGTAAGGTCTCTGGTTAAGCGGCTATTGGCCGGAGACTGAGCACTGGCATGGGCAGAGCCTGCATGACCTGCCTCTTTCCCCATCCCTACATAAGGTTTTACTCGTGAGAGCCCCAGCCACTCCCAGAGAACTCAAGAGCCAATTGTTACACGAGTAGGCTGTGGCCCCTCAACTTTCGCTGCCAGGTTTTTGTTACTCTTTGTACTAAGGGGAGGCTTTGCCTACTGGGCAGTCAGATAACCCTCCCACAGCCATTTCCTACACTGCTCACGGCAGTACAGAGGCTCCGGGGTTCCAGCCCATGCCCTTTCAAAGGCCTTCCGGGAGAGGAGACTCAGAATAAACGATAGAACAGGCAGACCATTTTCTCTTGTGGGCGTCTTCACTGCCCTTTCTCACAGGCAGCTGGTCACTCTTAGTCTTCATTCATTCATTCCCTCATCCCACATGGCCAGGACACCAGTTGGGGATATCTGTGGCTGACACCATACGTCTCGCTTCGTGCTCACAGAAGATGCTGGAACTTTTCCTTCATAGGACTGGTCCTAATTCTGGCCACACATTTATGTGTGTGCATGTGCCTTGAGTGTGTCTGTCTGTCTTTCCTGGACTGCAAGCTTCAAGAGGTCAGAGACCCCATACATACAGCCTCTCCATCCATGTCCCAAGGATTCAGGCAGAGCCTTGTGGAGAGCAGGCATTCGGGAATCTTTATAAAGTCAGGAATGAATGAATGAATGATCAGCCGACCCCCTGAGGGAATAGGAGCACAACCACTCATAGAACAAATGACCTCAGGAAGCCATGCAGTTTGCCTCCAGCCATCACTAGGAAAAGATGGCAATGGACGGTGTCTGTTGCCTCCTTAAAATGTGGTTCCTGTACTCAGAATTTCTCTCTGGACTGCAGGACACCGTCCTGACTGACTTGGAAATGGAGAGTGAAGTCCATGTGTCTTCAGAGGTCATTGAGGAGGAAGCCAAAGTGGGCCTTATAGCCCCCGAGTCCTTCTCCCAGCCAACCCGCATGGGGAGGCCCATGATTGAAGACCCTGCTGTGGATGTGGTGAAGAAGATCCTTCAGTGAGTGCCTGCCACTGTGGCTCTGGGGCCCTGCTCACTGGAGCACCGTGGAGTGCTGGGAGCCTGTGACCTCAGGCCAGAGGCCTCCTTCCCCTCTTAAAACTCCATTACTCACCCAAATTCCTGAGCCCATGCATGTGGTACTGAGGACCAACAGTTTGTCACCCGGGCCTCGGCCTGGGCTGTTGCCACGGTCATGTGGAAAAGTCACTTCCTTCCCTTTGGTTTCAGAATTCCTCAGACAAAGCTGGCATTGCCGTGTGATAAGGATCGCTCCCACACAGGTAGATGCACAGAGCTGCGGGTCTCAGGGAAGGTGGCGGCGGGAAGTTGGTGGCCGCTGCAGCCTATCGTCACCTCTTCTCCTCTGTTCTTGCCTTGGACTCTTGTCACCCAAAGTCTTGAGGAAGCATCGGTACCGGGGAGAAAAGTCTGTGAAGAAGGCCTTGGCCAGCTCCAGCGGCACCTCAGCTGGGAGGTAAGGGTGCAAGGCCGTCCCAAATTCCCCCTTCCCAGATGCTCTGGGCCCACTTGTCCCCAGTCAAAGGCTACTGACTCCGATCTCGGGTCCCACTTGCACTCATGCTCAGGAACTGTGTGGGAAGGAGCAGGAGAGGCGCTGCTAACACTGGCTTTACTCAGGCCTGGGTTCATCCTTAGGGGGTGAATCACAGCTCCCACATGTTTCCACCTGGAGAAGTGTCTGGGTGGCTATCACTGGGATGACAGGCAGACTCCTGTCCTGCGTTCTCCCGGCAAGCTGGACAGCATTAGAAAGGGGGGGGGGGGGCAGACCGAGCACAGGAGCAGGTGGGTTTCCTGGAGCAACTTCACAGATACAGGAGGACGAGGACAAGGTGTCTAAGTCCATGGTCACCTACGCATCTCTGGAGAGGTCGTCTGTCACACAGGAGCCTCCGGTCACTAGCTCTAACCTGCATATTTTAGGGAAAGCAAATGGCAGAAGTCAAATGGCTGAACCAACTTTAACTCTGCTAAGCCTTAGATAACATACGTCATACGTGTGTGTGTGTGTGTGTGTGTGTGTGTGTGAGAGAGAGAGAGAGTTTATTCCTTGTGTAAATACATTCACGTCTAACTAGAAGTGCTGTATGGTTATCTGCTGACCCTGAAGTCTTTCCTTGAGTCTTCATGGGAAAGGGAGAGTGAAAACTTCTGGGCCCGACCACCTCTGCCCCTCGCCCTCTACCTGGCCTTGGTTGGAACTTGGCAATAAACCCAAAGTCAAGTCTTTTGCTTTCCAGAGAAGTTGAAGAGTGGGAGAGCATCCTGCAGAGCTGTTCTAAAACCCAGTCACCCTGCCCCATAGGCATTGCAGGGTCTCAGGCACCCCAGGCAGAGTCCATTGGGTGCAGAACCCCCTGGACTCCAACACACATACACTCCAAAGTTGATGGCAGATGTCCTTCTGTACATATGTTTCTCTTATTGGTTGGTGAATAAAACACTGATTGGCCAGTAGCTAGGCAGGAGGTATAGGCGGGGCTACCAGACAAGAAGAATTCTGGGGAGAGGAGGCAGAGAGGAGTTACCAGGGAGGCACCATGTAGCCTCCAAAGGAGTAACTTGCTGGAGCATTCTCCAGTAAGTCAAAACCACATGCAGTTACACAGATTAATAGAAATGGGTTAATAATTAAGAGAGAGCTAGCCAATAAGAAGCCTGAGCCATTGGTCAGTTTCTAATTATTATAAGCCTCTGTGTATTTATTTGGGACTAAAGGCTGCAGGACCTGGTGGTACAGAAACCTTATCTACAAATGGCACCACCAATGTGGAACAAGAATCTCCCCATAAAACCTGACAAAAGCGTAAAAAGAGATTCTGAAAACAAAAGAACAGAGTCAAGCACAGCGTCTTAGTGGCACATTTTCTTGGGTGGACTCTGTTCCCTAGAGGCAAGCAGAGGCTCTCCTCTCCTTTAAGAGAGGCTTCCTGACTCAGCATTAGTGGCAAAAACCACAGGGCTCTTTTAAGAGGCCCTGCTACCAAGCAATTAAATGGTGTTCATGAGCAGCCTGTGTAGCATGCTTCTTGGCGGTGATATGAACCTAGAAACTCTGCCAGGAAGCCTAGACTGTCAGAAAGCCAAGGAATACGGCAGGACCAGCCACCACTTTACTCTTAGCCATGCAGATTAAAGACTCAAGTGGCCAGAAAAAGATAGAGATATACAGTAAAGACAGATTCAGATGAAGAAAAACTCTAAACGTTTTTACAGTGTGCCTAAAACTATATGTAGGCTTGGGAGAGAAAAGAAAAAGGATAAAGTCCTTAAAAAAGAAATAGAGCAGCTGGGTGTGGTGGCATACCCCTTTAATCCCAGCACTTGGGAAGCAGATGCAGGCGGATCTCTGTGATTTCAAGGCCAGCCTGGTTTACAGAGTGAATTCCGGGACGTCCAAAGATAGAGAGAAACTCTGTCTCAAAAAGCCAAAAGATAAAAGTAAAAGAAATAGAGAGTCTGGGTACTATATGTTATTGTGTTGTATTTAAATTGTTTGACTGCTGAGAAAGGATCATCTTCTGTCTCACAGCATGACACGACATACCAAGGTCGTCAGAGTTGACAAAAAGTACCAGGTGCTGGGGGAAAGGCCCCTTCCTCAGGCTGAGTAAGTAGTGGCACATTGTTCCCCCTTGTGGAACCGGTTTCCTCTGTGAGAACCCTTTCTCCTGTGAGAACCCCTTTTCTCTGGGAGAACACTTCCTCTGTGAGAACGCTTTTCCTCTGGAGAACGCTTTTCCTCTGGAGAAGCCTTTTCCTCTGGGGAAGCCTTTTCCTCTGGGGAAGCCTTTTCCTCTGGGGAAGCCTTTTCCTCTGGAGAAGCCTTTTCCTCTGGGGAAGCCTTTTCCTCTGGGGAACCCTTTTCCTCTGGGGAAGCCTTTTCCTCTGGGGAAGCCTTTTCCTCTGGGGAAGCCTTTTCCTCTGGAGAAGCCTTTTCCTCTGGAGAAGCCTTTTCCTCTGGAGAAGCCTTTTCCTCTGGAGAAGCCTTTTCCTCTGGAGAAGCCTTTTCCTCTGGAGAAGCCTTTTCCTCTGGAGAAGCCTTTTCCTCTGGAGAACCCTTTTCCTCTGGAGAACCCTTTTCCTCTGGAGAACCCTTTTCCTCTGGAGAAGCCTTTTCCTCTGGAGAAGCCTTTTCCTCTGGAGAAGCCTTTTCCTCTGGAGAAGCCTTTTCCTCTGGAGAAGCCTTTTCCTCTGGAGAACCCTTTTCCTCTGGAGAAGCCTTTTCCTCTGGAGAAGCCTTTTCCTCTGGAGAACCCTTTTCCTCTGGGGAATCCTTTTCCTCTGGGGAACCCTTTTCCTCTGGGGAACCCTTTTCCTCTGGGGAACCCTTTTCCTCTGGGGAACCCTTTTCCTCTGGGGAACCCTTTTCCTCTGGGGAACCCTTTTCCTCTGGAGAACCCTTTTCCTCTGGAGAACCCTTTTCCTCTGGAGAACCCTTTTCCTCTGGAGAAGGCTTTTCCTCTGGAGAAGGCTTTTCCTCTGGAGAAGCCTTTTCCTCTGGAGAAGCCTTTTCCTCTGGAGAAGCCTTTTCCTCTGGAGAAGCCTTTTCCTCTGGAGAACCCCTTTCCCCTGTGAGAACCCTTTTGTCTGTGAGAACATTCCCTTCTGTGAGAACTCTTTCTCAGTGCAACACTCCCTCTGTGAGGATAGTGGAAGATTAGGGAAGGTAAGCTTACTCATCAACGTCAGTTTGTCTTAGGTTAATATATGTGTTTGTTGAGAGACACTTTTCACCAAAAAGCTCACATTTTCCAAGCTGCGCATTTCATGGTACCAGGACACTTTTGAGGTTTGAGGACTTTGCTTGTTTGTTTTTGTTTTGTTTTCAGTTTCCCACCCCTATTTGCATTTCTCTTTTCCTTTATTGGCACTTTACTGATTAAAGCAAAAGCCAGTTTACTTTATATAGCTTATTTTTGAGCAAATCAGCAGAATCTCAAGTTGAAGACATCAGAAGCCCTTGGAGAACCCCACTCTCTCACTGAGGGACCCCTACTCTTCTTGGCAGACTTTGACCCCCCCCCCAGGGAACTATGTGAGGAAGAATGTCTAATCTACCAGGTAACTAAGGAGAGACTTCATGTTGGCAGCTCAATGTGCCCTCACCCTGTGCCTGTGACTTCCTGTGCCACAGAAACTCTGACTCCATTCCCTCTAGTCCTGAGTCATTTTAATTCCATAAAGAGGTGAACTCCCACAGTAGTCAAGGTACAGAACTGCTCCATTCCCACAAACATCTCCCTCTTACCATCTCCTTCCCCAGCCCAACACCGAGCCATCAGGAATTTGATTTTTCCTTGCAGTTTTGTCGGCTGGAGAATAGCATACAAACGGACTTGCAGCATTTGACTTTCCCAGTGACAGCCCAATACCCCGAGTTCCATCTTAATCTCACTCTGCCACCTTCACAGAATGTCTAAGGTCATACAATGTATAAACATCAGGGATTTATTTCTTACAGTTGGGAAGGTGGGGAAGTTCAGGGCAAAACCACCAGCATCGAGACAGGCATGGTGGGTCTTGCCTATAATCCTAGAACCCAGGAGTTAATGCTTGAGGATCACAAGTTGAGCCTGCCTAGGCTACATAGCAAGACCCTGTCTCCAAACATATCTTTTCATCAGGACCTCATTCCTATGATAACTAGCCCATACCCTGAGTTTCCAACATGTCTTAGTTAAGGTTTACTATTGCTGTGAAGACACACCATGACCATGGCAACTCTTACAAAGAAAATGTCTAATTGAGGTGGCTCCCTTACAGCTTCAGAGGTTCAATCCTCTATGATCAGGAGCATGGCAGGGCGCAGGCAGACGTGATGCTGGAGCTGAGAGTGCCCCATCTTGTCGGCAGCAGGAAGTCAGCTGTCACACTGAGGGAAGCTTGAGAAAGAGACCTCAAAGCCCGCCACCCCTCCCAGATCCCCACAGTGACACATTGGGCCAGAAGGTGTGCTTTAATCTAAAGGTGTGCCCTCCAGCCTCAAGGTCTGGATTAAAGGCATGTGTGTTCCAGCCTCCTCCAAGACCACACTCCCTCCAACAAGGCCACACCTCCTAATAGTGCCACTCTCTGTGAGTTTATGGGGGTCAAATACATTCAATCTACCACACAACACATGGACTTTATTTTTATTTTACGTGTGTGTTTGCCCGGGTTATGTCTGAATGCAGGTGCTTGTCAAGGCCAGAGGACAGACAGGTGTTACTGGAATTACAGGTGATTGGGAGCTGTCATGAGCATGCTGGGAATCAAACCCAGGTCCTCTGGAAGAGCAAGTGCTCTTAACCACCAAGTCCATCTCTTCAGGCCCAGACAGCTATTTCTATTCTGTGCCTGACTTAAAGGCATGATTTTTTTTCTCCGTCTCCTGGGGGCTGCCAGGATTTTTGTTTTTTTGCCTAACCTGTGCTATTTTTCTAATAAACTCTAATAAAATTGTCCTTGAGTTTTAAAAAATCACATCAAAAAGAAGAAACTGTTAGAAATAAACACACAAGGGAGGTGCTCAGCCTCACTGGGACACCAAGAAATGAGCAGAGGCCAAGCCCATTCCTTACTTCACCTGAGACTCACCAACCGACCCAGGACCGCATGGGGGCAGCCAGCCTACAGGGGGAAAGCAAATGCCCTGCATTGAGGGCAGGGGTCATCAACAATCATCCTCCCAGAAATTCCAGAAGCCATCGCAGAAGTTAATGGGAGCCATCAAGCCAGCCATCTACAAGTCTTCATACTTTTCTCCCAAAAAGCTCACCCTCCCCTCAAAGGAAAGACCTCCAACAAAGATATTCCGTGTTGTGTAACCTGTTGCTTGGAACTGCTCTGTTCTGAAGCAAGCAGGAGGCCTACAGGAGACAGCAATGCATGCTCTCTGCAAGAAAATGCCCACGGGTTTTCTATGTGGAGGAGGGCCTGGAAGAGAGTGTATTTAGTCACAAGGACAAATACCTTCCTGCCAGTGAGGCGAACAGTCACACCCTCCTTCAGCTGGAAGGATGGTTCACAGCCTCAGGCCAGATTCAGTCACTGTGGTGGGACCCCTTAGAGCAAAACAGTGGTATGGGCATGATCCGGAGAGTGGGGAATTAAGACACACATCATCAGGTCCCAGGCCCTGTGGTGTACAGGGGATTCAGAGCCAGGTCCTGATGAGTGTGACCTGGATGCCACTAGTTTTAAGGCTCATCCAGGAACCTGGGAACAGTGTCTAGTAACCAAGATGAGTGGGTCTGAAAGTTACTCAAGGTTACTCCCACCCACCAATTGTTTGTTTGTTTGGGGTTCTGTTAGATTTCTGTGTATCTATAATCTGACAGATCTCCCCCAGAACTCCCCTGGGGAACTAGAATGTTGTGGGGGGGGCATTCATTAGCCTTTATAATATGAGAAAGTTACGGAAGTACCTTGATTGGTAGACCATCCAGTCACTCTTAAGCAAGGAAGTCTCCTAAGGCTAAGATTCTGTTGGACTGACAAAACACGTTGCCTACTGTGCAAAAAAGAAAAAAAAACCTCCCATGCAATGCCTTGTTGCTGATTTTCTAGAAATTCAATGAACCTCGGATTTCAAGCCAATTGAAAATGGAGAAAATCTTTGAAATTCCAAAAATTAAAGGATTGCAAACTGTGGTGCATCTATATTTAATGATGCTTCACAACCATCTAAGACCATATCCCAATACAGGGGGCACTAAGAATTTGATAAATGCACAGTGACAATATGAAATCCTTGTTAAGCTAATTGTGTCTGATTTTAAGTAAAATTATCTGGAGGGAATGCACTAAAATGTTGGTGTTAATTTCCCCTCACTTCAATATAATTGCATCTCTTAAAAGTACGAGTAAGTTTTGAAATGATAGACCATTGACCAATGTACACAGATTTTTGGATCTGGGGAGTAGTACAACATGTGGGCAGCAGTCCCTGAGACACTTAAGAGTCCTTGTGAAATATCAGCGTTCTACGACTCCATGCAATCTGAAGACACTGGTTCTTCACCTCACTTTTGCTTTGAAAACAATTGAGTTTATGGGGCATGAATAATCCACCAGTCAATAGAAACTGCTTCTGAGACTCTGGTGTGTGAACCATGGTCCTAATGGCTACTTAGAGTGGTGGAGGAGGTACCTGTCTTAGTTAGGGCTATTATTTCTGTGATGAAACACCATAACCAAAAGCAACCTGGGGAGGAAAAGATTTATTCACTCACAGTTCTGTGTAACAGCTCCTCAAAAGCAGTGAGGACAGGAACTCAAACAGGGCAGGATCCTGAGGCAGGAGCTGACGCAGAGGCCATGGAGGGGTGCTGCTTCCTGGCTTGCTCCTCATGGCTTGCTCAGCCTGCTTTCTTACAGAACCCAGGACCACAAGTCCAGGGATGGCCCCACCCACAATGGGCTGGGCCCTCCCCCACCAATCACTAATTAGGAAAATGTTTTACAGGCTTGCCTGCCGCTGGGTCATATGGAGGCATTTTCTCAGCTGAGGCTCCCTCTTCTCAGATGACTTTAGCTTGTGTCAAATTAACATAAAACTCTCCTATACAGTGAGTGCGTCACAGGAGGGCTTACTCATTGGCTTACTGCTTTTAAAAATGTTTAATTTACCTTTTTTATTATTGTTATGAGAGAGTTGATGTGTGTGTGTGTGTGTGTGTGTGTGTGTGTGTGTGTGTGAACAACTTTCAGGAGTTGGTTCTCCCCTGCCCAACTGAGAGTCAGCACAGTCAGCATGGTCCTGGGGCAGGATGAGTAATTATTAGGAGTGACGGGGCTGGAGAAGAACATTCGGAACACTCAGATGCTCGGTTCTGTCTGTGCTGGCGCATCTGGCAGACGCACCTCACAGACCTGCTTTGTTTGGGTTGCAGGGACTTCAGAGGCATCATCATGACCCTCCTCTGGGAAAGCAATGAACACCTGCTGCTCGTGGTGGAGGTGAGAGCCCCCTGCAGGCCCTCGCCCACCCTGGAAGCCCCTTCCATCTGTCCCTAAGAGCCCCCAAAACCCAGACATGGTGGGATGCCATGGTCCTGCCACAGTCGGGGTTCGAGTCCTGAGACGGGGAAGGGGCACGGGCGGGAAGAAATGAAGCAGTGTCCAACCACCAGATGAGTCTCACACAAGTGGGCTGGGCCCAAAGAGCTTGGGCTGTCTTCATATATACTTCAAAAACAAGTATGTTTTTTCATACTGACCAACATTTTTCCCCTCCCTCCAACATCAACCTCTGACAAAAAACAAATATGTCACATATGTGTGTTTTTTTCCCAATTTTTACACCAAAACATCTTTTAAGCCAAAAAACAATGCTTATCATTTTGCTTGCTTGGCCAAATATGGAGCTAGGTACACCCTGTCTTTACAAAGCTAAAAGGTGACAAGCATAGGCACATTCTCAAGAGCACCAGTATCATCTAAAACGCATCAAAGCACACTACAGAAATAGGGTGATCTGCCATACGCGGACAGCAGAGGGTTGGCTTGCGTTCTTCAACTGCCCATTAACTATTATTGCCTCCAGCCCTGTCAGCACTGAATCAGAACAGTTGCCGGGGTCTGGAGTAACAGCTGGTATTCCCCAATAAGAAACCCGAGAGGCATCAGTTCCCAAAGAATCTTAGGGGAAAATATTTGAGAAAAAAATGGGTTTTCAGGAATGGTCACATTTGTCCCATGAGTGATTGACAAAGTGACACTAAAAGCTACCAAGAGAATTATCGATATTATGGTAGAGAAGAAAGTCTACAGGCCACGCAGTGCCCACAATGTTCTGCGCCATCTCAGAGTCCACTGGTCCTTGTCAAGTGAGACTGTCTTCACAGGCTTTGCCTCACGGAGACCTGTTTGACAAGCACTCATGTACTGATCCAAAATAGAGATCCAAAACCGGGCCACATGGCTCCCAGCAGTGGGACACACAGGTAACGAGATGGGGCTTGGACACAGCCTGCATGCTGTTCTGCTCCGGCATGTCCCAGAACATACTCAGGCCTCCAGCCTGCCTTCCACAGCCTGGGTTCTGCCAGGCAGGCCCCCGCTCATCTGTCTTTGTGGTCCACAGCCTAATGCTTTCTAGTTAACACCCAGCCCTGTTCCAGTTTGACGTGTCATGGACTTGGGTCTCCAGGGCTAAATAGGAGTTTGCCACTCACTCATTCAAGTAGCAACATGGTCTGTTTGTAGCCGTGCTTGGTGGGCATGGGATAAGGAGGGGGGCATACAGGCAGAGGGGGTACATGCAAAGGCTCGGAGGTGTGGCGGTCCAGATGGGCCACACATGGTCACCTGTCTCTGGCAGGATTTTTACCGCCGAGAGAAACGCCCCGTCACCAGGCCAGAATGCATGTACGAAAGCTTTGACCAGTGTGCTGAGCACATCGGCAAGAAAATCCTGGAGTATCAGAGCCAGGTGGATGAGTACCACAACTCCTGCCTCCTGGGTAAGTGCACTTCAGCGGGGAGGAGGTAGGCAGAAGGAAGGCAGGGGCAGGTATGGCCAGGTGTGAATCTCAGCCCATCCTCCCTTTGACTCCCTGAGGACACAGAGGAACGGCCCTGTGAAAAGCCAACCTCTCGGAGTTAAGAGAAAGCTTGCTGTTCCGTTCACAGCCCACATGTCTCCCAAGCCCAGCTGACCACAGGGCCTTTGCTCCGAGGACAGCGATAGAGAATGGGTCCCTCTGAGCTCACTGGGAAACACTAACTATGGCTTGGATTTCACTCATTCTACAATCACAGGCTATGACTGGTCATTCCGTGGCTTTTGGTTCATTTCCAGAGTTGCATAACTGCCACCAGTGCCAATGTTAATTAACCCTCATCAACCTCTCCTCTCCCATCCTAGGGATGTTGCCCTAGCAAGCAACATCCATGTCTGTCTATAATTTTCCTTTGTCCCTTTCATGGAATGGATTCCCATGGCCTCTTGTAACTGTCTTCCTTTGTTTCACGGGATGCTTTTTAGGTTTTGCATGCTGTGTATTATATGGTACTTTAAAACAAAAACACAGAATAAGATTCCTCTGTGCAAATCTAATCCACTTTATTGGGCTCTGCTGTGTGATTTCAGAGGCAGCAGGGGAGGTGTGTGTCTGGGCAGGAGTTAGGAGGTAACCAGACCTGGGACCAAAACCCAGCCTTGTGACTTTGGCAAAGTGATTACCTCCATTTGGCAAAGTGAGCCTCCATTTTCTTATCTGTAAGCTGGAGGAAGTAACAGCAGTTGCCATGGAATGCCTCTTTAAGGGTTAATCCCTCACAGCACGGGGGGAGGCTGAGGCAGGGTTTCAAAGTCAAGGTTAGCCTGGGCTACATGGTAAGAGTAGGAGACGAATGAGGGAAGAATAAAAAAAAAAAGAGGTAGGAGGGGAAGAATGGGAAGAGGAAAGAGGAGGGGGGGAGAGGGAGGGGGCATGTACTAGGCACAAAATAGAAAATGATGTGCTCCTACTTAAATAAAAGGGGAAACCGGAAACCCAGGAGTAAGATACTACAGAAACGACCAATTAGATACCAAAGAGAATGAACTAGAACTTCTAAAGAGGAGGCATCAAGAGTTGACATGTTAAAGTGGTGAACGGGTGGGTGTGCAGCCAGGCTTTACGTCGATGAATGGGAAACTGGTGAATCGGGCAGGAGTCAGATACAGAGGAAACCCCCTGCAAAACAAGGAGAAGGACCCGAGCAGCAGCGATGCAGGGATGACGGATGGGGCTTAGCCCACGCCCGTTTGGAGGTACAGGACAGGAAGGAGACAAAGTTGAGGCAATGCCCAAAGAGGTCATCGATGGGAACTTGCCCAAGCTGATGAAGGATCCCTTTGAACTTGCTAAATCTTCATTTTCCATCTTTGTCCTGCTGTCGGTCTGCCTTAGGTGGAGTAGTTCTTATCACACTGGAGAGCAATCTTTTCCTCTCTTTCTTTTCTTTTGGAGACTTGGAAACGTACTTCTCTATCCAGTCCCTAATATCCTGCCCCGCATTCCTGCAGAGTTACGTGCCCAGGTGAGGAGGTTTGAGGAGCTGTTGCCCCAGGTGTGTTGGCTGGTGATAGAGAACTACAAGGAGCAGCACTGGAACAAGTTCTGCACATCCATGAAGGAGATCCGGGAACAGTTTGAGCAGCAGCAGAAGCAACTGGAGAAGAAGAAGGTGAAGGTCACGGGGCCAGGAGTGCAGGGAGTTGAGAATGGAGGCTGAGTCCAAGGCGAGAGGAGGAGCTAGGCTTGGGAATAGCTGGGGACAGGGGATACTGGCGAATTAGTAACCAAACCAACACCTGTCGGCAGAAGGCATTCACCAAACTCTAGGCTTTGGTAGGGCCTTGGCCGTTGAGATCAATGACAGTTCCACAGTGTTCTTTGGTGCTGTGAGATATGACTGGCGATGCTTTTATTGAGCTAACGGTATCGTGCTGGAGCAGGTGCCCAGCTCAAGCTTCTTTCCAACCCTCAGAGTTGGCACCTCGTCCTCACAGCCACTCAGTCCTCTTTTTACACTCAGATCACAGGGCATATCTGTCTGGGTGTGGCCTTCATTGACAGAAGACATTGGTCCTGATTTCACAGTCTATCTCAAAATCTCTGCTCACTTCTGACTTGTTTGGTTGAAGGAAGAAAATGCCAAGAAGCTCCATCCAAATATTGGCCATCCCACATATGCCCGTCAAATGGAGTCCCTACACATCATGGAGGAGCTAAGACAGGAAGAGCTAGAGAAGGTGTTGCACGCAAACCAGGAGAAGATGGAGGTGAGTCCTGCCACCCAGTCTCCACCTCAGGTGCTGAGGGCCGTTCTCCTCTTCAGAAAGTAGGCCCTGACAGTTAGTACCTGAGCCAGAGAACACACAAGTGGTAGGTCATTTTTGGTAAATGAACTGGTCACTATTGAATGCTTGCATCCCTTTGATTTGGTATGTTTGTTTGTTTGTTTATTTGTTTGTTTGAAGACAGGGTTTCTGTCTATAGTCCTGGCTGAACTAGAACTTGCCATGTAGACCAGGCTGGCCTCGAACTCACAGAGTACCTCTCGAGCGCTGGGATTAAAGGCATGGGCCACCATGCCTGGTCATACTTTGACTCTTAAATTATTACAAGAGCTAGTAATGACCATTTTCTTCATGATCCATGCCTACTTTTTTCCGTTTGGTGAATTGTCTGTATATGTGCCTTGGCCATTTCTGAATTGTGTGTGTGTTTGGAGAGGTATGTGTGAACATGAACGCATATGTGTGTGCAGTGTAGGGTGTTATTCCTCAGGAATAGTCAGTCTGTTTTATAAGACAAGGTCTCTCACTGAACCTGGAACTCAGCAAG